GTGTGTGTGTGTGTGTGTGTGTGTGTGTGTGTGTGTGTGTGTGTGTGTGTGTGTGTGTGTGCGTGTGTGTGTGTGTGTGCATGCGTGCGTGCGTGTGTGTGTGTGTGGTGGATGGGCTGTTACAGGCCCAGTCTCATTTCAGCGAGATCAGAGGTCAGCCAGACTATCAGAGTCCTGTAGATCATCAGGGATCCAGGACTGGGTCAGCCGAAGTCACCTGGACCTGTTTTTAACACCAAGCCTGTAATCTAAGGAACGCTTCATCATTAGAACATCTGACTTGTTCTTAAACTATGGGATGGAAAGAGTCTCCAGACTTACCAGATCATTCCTTGGTTATAAATCAGATGCAGGACGTTCTCGGCGATCTTGAATTCTCCATATTCAGGCTGCAAAACATCAGAGACCATGTAGGAGTGAGATTTATTCACCTGTGACAACCAGATCTCGAGTTTCATTACATTAATGACCATTATAAAAGAACAGGAGACCCAATTTGTCTTTAGAAATTTTATTACAAAAATAATTAAAAATAGAATGTAAACGATATAAAAAGTCAACAACACAAACAATAATGAATAAGAATTAGTAAAATAAATGGTTTGAAGAAGAAGTTGTAAAATAATGACTTAGATATGATGATTTACCAGTCTAAGATAAGCAATAAAAAAAAAATCAAAGATTAATTCTCTTATCTAAAACAAAAATATTTATTTGGACAGAATTGTTTTTGTTTATAACACACAAGAATTTAGATAAAGTTCACTTATTTAATAAATAGTTTACTTTGGAAATTGGATGAGAGATGTGATTTAAATGAGTCAGATTGTCAGACTGTTTATACGCAGTGGTTCTCATGGGGTCCCAGGACCCCCGGGGGTCAGCAAATCCGATGCTTGGGGGTCCACAAAAAAAAAGTATTTTTTTACAAGCTTTTAGATATTTAACAACCTGTTAAAATACACCAAAATGAAGGAAATCACATCTTTATTCAAACTTTTCTGGGGGAGGACACCCGCTCACCCCCCTGCCAGCCCGCACTCTATTTGCGTTCCAGCATGGATCAGTTTACAAATTAAGCTCTGTTACTTGGTACTGCTGTTATGATTCTGTTCAGTTTTATGTAAAGAGTTTTCTGTAATAATTTGAAGAAGTGGTGATACATTTATATTTATTATGTGAATAGGTAAAGTTTTAAAGTGGTTTTTGATACTGTTAATTTTCTCAAAACTGTAATTTTTGAAAGTAAAAATAAAAAATTTTGTTAATCAAGTGTGTCTTGAATTAAAAAAAAAAGCCCTGTGTTTAAAAGTATAACAATTGTATTAACACTATTAAAAAACAGGTCTCAGGTATTTATGATACACAAATATTTGTGTTACCAAAAATGTAATTTTGTTGTGCTCTGTGCAATGAAAATAAAGCTGAGTCTGATATTTCCATTGCATTAAAGAGACAAATTGAAGAAAATTATTTAATAAACTTGAGGGTTATGAGGGGATCCCTGAAACTTTTTCTTCCCTGTAAGGCATGTATGTCAAACTCAAGGTCCGGGGGCCAAATGTGGCCCTCGTTGACGTCTTATCTGGCCCCCAAGATGATATGTTGAACGTAAAATACTTTTTTCACTTGAATTTTTTCAGTAACCTTTGATTATGATGTTAAAAGTGCAACAGAGAACGTCAAACGAGACCAATCAAACTCTTTTTGAGGAACCTGCAACCAAGAAAAGATGTTTGGTATCTAACTTGAGTTAATGTAAACTCTGAAACCAGCCCTTAGTTTGAAAAAGGGTTTAATTTTGGCCCCTTTTTGTAAGTGAGTTTGACAACCCTGCTGTAAGGTGTTCCTGAACCCAAAAAGATTGAGAACTCCTGATTTATAGAACAGCAGGCAGAATTATTTTTATCAAAGTGCACCAACTAAAACGTTGAACAGACCTGACCCGCTCTGTGTCGACACCCGGGCGCAGGAGAATCGGAGCGCCTCATGTTGCTGCAGCTCGCAGGAAGTTCGCCTCCCCAGGAGCTGAGGTGTGCAGGCGTACCTGTTCAACACTGAGAAGGAGGCAGCTCAGACCCTGGAGTCAACCGAGGGTCCGTTGAGATCAACAGCAGGTCCAGAAGGTAGACTGTCCGATGAGGCTGAGGGCGGAAGGACTGAAAAAGGTCTGGCTCCTTCAGTTCCTGGTTTACCTCAAAGCCGTAAAGTCGTGCAGTGAAAAGGTTTGATCTTCAGATGTAAACGAAGACGAGACACGACGGAGCGGGTAGATGAACAACTGAGAGACTGGAACACACCTCTGACAACAGCCCGGTGCCGAGGACACCCCGGAGTTATCAGAAGGTCATGAGGTATTCGCCAAGACTGTCGCACGTCTTCAACTGATAAAACTGTCCCAAAGACTTTACACACGGTTTTGACGTCACTAAAAGTTCTGTTCTTTCTAGAAAACAAAACAAAATACTTGACCATTTGGATTATTTCATTAAAATAATTGCAAACAATGATCAACATTATTCATGTTTTAAACATAAGGAACAAACTCTTGGGGATTGTCTGGATGAGAAGCAAAGTTTCTGGCATAGCCCTGCAGAACCTCACTGACCTACAAGGTGAGGTCCTGAACCACTCCATGGTGAGTTCAGGGTCCTTCAGTCTGGACGCAGGCACCTGTGTCCCAGATGTAGAACGAACAGACTCAACAAACGCTGCAATCGGCTTCTCAGTGAACAGAGGTGATTCCTGTACGGTTATTTTAGGGGCTTAATGTTGTTTTATGCATCTACTGACTGAAACAAACTGCCCCTCAAGGATAATAAAGACTCTTGAACCCTTGAAACATATCAGTCAAATAAACAACCTTAATTTAATGAATAAATGGAGAAGCACTTATCAATGTCTAAGTGATTAAATGTCCAGGAAAGTGTGTGTACAGACAATGATCAGACATTATTCAGGTTCAAAGGAACTTTAAAGAAACCAGTTCAGAGTGGTTCTGAGAGACGACCTCAGATTCAGAGGCCAAGGTCAGGAGAGCTCTTCTATCCTACAGTAAAAATATATAATAACCTAACATTTAAATTAAACTAAAACACGAGGTCTATCAGCCAGCTGACTTTACTCATAAAAAAGGACTAGAACATTCTGAAGTAATACTCTAACAGGTTTCAACTCGTTGGGACCAGTTTCAAGGAGGGAATTATTCATAATAAACTTACAAACTTGCTCTCCAAGTCCCAGCAGCAGCAGTCACTCAGATATCGAACCACCAGACCTCGGATGAAGTCGATGAGGAGGATGCTGGCCACGGTGAAGATCATATCAATAATGGAGAGCTTCAGCATCTCCTGCGAACAAACACAGGGTCAGAGGTCATGGGTCAGAGGTCAAAGGACTCCCTCTGAACAACATGACACCATCAGGAAACCTGTCCAACGTAGGTCTCCCAGCACTGGTCCTGCTGAGAGCGGGCGCTCTTCTCCAGAGGACCTGTCTGGTTGTAGACTGGCCCCAGGTGGACCCGATGGTCACTAGTAAACTTCAGAGCTGTGGTGATAGTTGCCATGGTGATGTTATGTTGCTCAGACACCTGGGTGGAGAGACTGGTGGTCTCAAGCTGAGATACAGTGGCCAGGAAAGAACTGGACTCAGTCCAGTTACCAGAACCTCCCCGAACCTGGAAGACATCCAAATAAATAAATAAATATATATATATATATATATATATATATATGCTCACCACAGCACAGAAACCGCACTGGTGAAAGTTATTAACAATATTCTTGTGGTCTCTGACAATGGACAGGTGTCTTCACTGGTCATGTTAGACAACCTCAGTGCTGCATTTGATAAAAATGATCACAATATCCTACTACAGATGCTTGAATATGATATTGGGATTACAGGAACTGCTCAGCTGGAAAAGGTGGTGGTGAAAAGAGATGCCTGGACTTCGCTGATCTGATGCTGCCCCCGAGACCTGAGTCCAGAACCAGATGATGGATGGAACTCTAAGTTCACCAAGCTTCAGTGTCTACAAAAGCATTCTTTTCTGCTGAAGACCGGGACCAGTCCAGTCCCCTACAGAGTTGTACAGGTACAGGTTGGAGACTTTAGCTCCGCCCCTCAACACACTAACAATAGGAACCAGAAGCCATGATAAAAACTAACATGGTGTTGAAATTTTAAAATTATGCAACACATTTTAACTCTGATGATTAACAGAAATGTCAGTGCAGCAAAAATGCTGGCACAGCCCTACAGAACCTCACTGACCTACACAAGGCGAGGTCAGTGAACAAGGCCAGGCTGATTCTGGCAGATCCTGTTCACCCACTCCATGGTGAGTTCAGGTTGCTGCGCAGATGTAGGACGAACAGACTGGAAAACTTATTCATCCCTGTAGTGATCAGGCTTCTCAATGAACAGTGATGGTTTCTGTTCTGTTATTTTAGTGTATCACTGTCTTGTCTATTATGGAAGTTTCATGTGCCTGCTGACGATGAAACAAATTTATCCTTGGACATAATAAAGATTCTTAAACTTGAAAACCAGAATTTGATCCAAAGACTCACAGCAGAACTCATACTGTTGACTTTATCCAGCAGAGCAATAATGAGGCTGTAGAGGTTCCCAAGATACAGAACCAGAACCCTGGAAACACGAAAAATTCACATCATTATTAAAACTGAACAGTAAAAAGTTGCTTTGTTTAATCTCCTGTTTCTGCAGTTCCCAGGATCCTTGGACCGGACTCAGAGCCTCACATTAATAATAAGTGAGAACTTTGGCAGCAGGGACATCTGGTGGTGGGGGCTAGGCTTTTATGTAGAGGAACTCTGATGGTTTCAGAGACTAGAGAAGTCCCACATTAGGAGGATATTGGTAAAAGGTACCTGGCCAGCTGGAACCGCAGGGAGGTTCTGGGATGGTACATCTCCAGCTGAGCCACCAGCTCAAAGGCCGAAGGCGCGATCATGGTGATGAGAGAGACCACCACACTGACCTGAGGAGACACCAAGACCAGGATCTGAGTGGAGAAACAAGTCCAACCTCTGCTGATGTGAACTGGACCTGTTCTGGTTCTGAAGCTAGTCTGACGGAGCGGACCTGTTCTGGTTCTGAAGCTGGTCTGACAGAGCAGACCTGTTCTGGTTCTGAAGCT